TTTGTTTCTCTCCTTTTTGGGTTTCTGGTGTTTTTCATCTCCCAGCTAGACAGGATGAGCTCTAGAGAAACCTGTTCCTCCCTACCCCTTTTCTTCTTCACAAACAAACCTCTGCTGAACGTGCCTTATTTATATTCCAAAAATATACTTACCAACATCATACCCTTACATCCAAATTCAGACAAGGCTCAGGGCCAGCAGTGAGAAGGGTAGTTGGAATATGACTGCTCAATTGATCAACTGAGTCCCAGTCTAGTTCATGAACACAGATAGCACATCAGACACCCACCACTCAAGATTATAGCTGAAAACGTCTTTCTGCCACTTCACTGAAAACAATACATCTCCCGTTATATTGTGCCCTGGATTCTCCTCTACAGAGAAAATAGCGTATGCTAAGCTATGCAGTAGGTCCAGAGATCAGTTTCTCTGGTGCTACAGAGGTTTTTCCCCTTTCCAAATGAAAGGCTGACAAACAGACACTTTTTGTAGTCCCTACTAAGAAAACTGGTAGGAATGGGGAAGGATGACCCCTTTTTTGTGCTGCCAGCACCAACACATTTAGGTCTTGCTGGAGTAAGCGACGGGAGCTGCATGGCTGAGCTTGTGCCTGTCTTCTGTGGGGAGCACAGGCCTTCTCACTACTGTTTCTCTTCCCCTTCCTCCTTACCTTGCCGTGTCTCCAGTGAGACCCTCCCAGTGGAGTACATGGGTGGGAAGCCCCTCTGCATGAACCAGTACTACCAGATCCTCTCATCCTGCCGCATTCCTGGGCCCAAGCGGGACTCCATTGTCAACTATGCCAAAGGCAAAAAGCAGTCCAGACACATCACAGTGGTTCACAACTTCCAGGTATGGCAGCTCCTGAGGAGGTTTGTTTAGGTGCAGGTGTCCCTTTCAGCTAGCGTTAGTCCAGAGAAAAGAGAACAGTAGAAAGTCTGCCCACAAGGTTTGCCTCACCAGGGATTCGTTCCTGCTCCCTTTATCCCCTTTGGCCTTATCTGGCCAAGAGCTGGGATTGCCATGTGTGAGCAAGAGACTATAAGGCAGAAAAACACTCTTCCTTTGTTTCTTGTCCCTGAAATTCCTGTTTCTCAGAGCCAAGCAATTATATCTGGAATTGGAAATTCCAAGTAGAAACTGGATAACAAACCCTACCACCATGGATGAGCCTCAGAAGTAGGAATTCCTCATGTGTTTTGGCCCTCATTACCATGGTTTCTGAGCTTCTTAAAACTGTATATATGCCCTATGAGGGAAGTTGGGCTTGGGTCTCTCAATTCTGAGCATCCTTCAAAGGTCTGCTTACAAGCCGAGTTCTTAGGTCAGGTCTTACCTCCTCAAAGCGGCTGTTCCCTGTTTCTGGGGTTGGATAATAAATACCTTCTCTCATGTTCTGTCTCTGTCCTTATCCGCTCTTCTCACCTTCAGTTCTTTGAGCTGGATGTTTACAACAGTGATGGAAGTCCCCTTACCACTGACCAGCTCTTCATTCAGCTGGAGAAGATATGGAACACCTCCCTCCAAACAAACAAAGAACCTATTGGGATCCTCACCACCAACCACCGAAACAGCTGGGCAAAAGCCTACAACAACCTTCTGAAAGGTCTGTAGAGCCCCTAACGTAGAAGTGCTAACAAACATCATGAACGCTTGAACTACCAGCCTCACCGCTGTGCTCTGCTTGGTTCTTTCCTTTGGAAGCTTGTTCTGGACAGATAACAAGAGCTTTCCACCTCAAAGAAGCAATCTGATTTCATTGCAAAGTATTGTTATTTCTGTGTTGGAAGGTACACAGGTGAAGCCTGAAGCCTGGTTTGTTACACCTGAAATCCTAGAGTTGTTTGCCTTACAAATGGGTGGGATGTACAAAACATGAGAAAAGGAAGGTGAATGCAGCATGCTTGCATCTAACAACCCAGCTGGCTACAATCTTAATTACTGTATACACCCCTAAATGACTAATGTTGCATTGAAGTACAATGGGAATCCAACCACCCTGGGTCCTTCAAACCTGCCCTTTCAAATTTGAATCTCCCTCCAATTAAAATGCAAGTTTCAACTCCTGTTTCTTATTTGCTGTTCATTTCTCTCCCAGATAAGACCAACAAGGAATCTGTGCGTACCATTGAGAAGAGCATTTGTACTGTCTGCCTTGATGCACCTATGCCACGGGTGTCTGAGGACATCTACAAGAGCCGTGTGGCTGCACAGATGCTGCATGGCGGAGGCAGTCGCTGGAACAGTGGGAACCGATGGTTCGACAAAACCCTTCAAGTAAGCGCTGATGCTGTACAGATGCTGAAGACATGGGTCTGGATGAGATGCTTTTTCTTGAGACTGCAAACGTCCAAGAAATCCCAGAAACCTTTTGTAATATAGTTTTCCTTATATCAAGAAAGTGGAGACATAGGGGAGAGAGGTTGTGGTAGCTGACAGTATGAGATCCTATGGTTTCCCTTGTAGTCACTACAAGCACTCCTTCCTGCCTCAGGGACTTTTGTTTCTTTTACTGCCTCTGCCCATGCTTATTCAGTGTAGCAGTTCTTTCTGTTCCTTGTAAATCGATTTTCTGCCTGCGGTGAACAATGCCTCATCTGCTTGGAGGCAGCCCAAACGTAGGGAGGTCTGTTCCTTCTATCTCCTCTAGGCTTGTCATTTTTCCTGTTTCTGCCAGAAGCTGCCCAGTGGCTTTTTTGTTTTGTTTTTTCAAACATCAGCTGCCATCCCACGGCATCCCTCTGATCTCTTCTCCATTCAGTCCTGTCAAGACTCTTCAACAGCAGCTGCTGTTCAAGCTTCTCCTTCATTAGTTGGCATATCCTGGCTTGTGGATAGTAGTAATGGTGCTTTAAAAGATTGTGATCTGCTGAACTCTTCATAATATTTTCAGCTATTTTGTTCCTATTTGGAACTCTTCATTGATGAGATAAAGTTTAGATGTTCCAGCTAATTGAAAAGTGAGGGTATGCCAGCACATGGTGATATTATTCCTGTACTATGTGTGCATCTAAGTAAATCAAACCCATTGAATCACTCAGTATTCACAGAATCATGGAATGGCAGGGGTTGGAAGGGACCTCGGGAGATCATCTAGTCCAACCCTCTGTATTGCCAGGACACTCAGCACACCAATACATCTATCAGGCACACTCTTATCTGGTTAATTTTGCAAAACTGTAACAGCGCTATCACATCTCCTGCGCCTGCCTGAGAGGCTCCCATTGCTGTTCTGCTAAATGAGACCTGTGTGTTACCTTTCCTGCACACAAGGATAGGATCACTGTCCATTCTGATACGGAGCGGCAAGATACTAAGATCTCTCTGGATAGCTCCTGCCTCACACTCTGGATGCCTGTCTTCAACAGTGTCCTCTCATGCTTCTCTCATAGTTCATCATTGCTGAAGATGGCTCCTGTGGTCTTGTATATGAACATGCTCCCTCAGAAGGCCCACCCATTGTTGCTCTTCTGGATCACATAGTGGAATACACGTGAGTCCTGCCTCCTCTACTTTTCCTCAGCACTGGACGTAGGTTTTAAACCACTGGCTCCCCAAGAACATGCTTCTTCGCAGCTCACCTCCTAGGAATTTGTTCTGCAGAAAGGGTAGTGGTATGCTAATTAGGTATTGCAGTTCTTCCATTCATTAATTGAGTGGCCAAGCTACTCTGATAAGTTTTGCTACTGCTTCTGTTCTCAGGAAGTTACACTGTTCAGAATTAACAGAACTTTTGCCTGGGAGAGGTGTTTCTCTTGGGCAGAAGGCGCAGAAGACATTTCAGTCATAACCTTCAAAAAAACACTGTAATGGCACTGTGAAGAATTTTTCAGTCTGTGACTAGTGTCACAAGGTGTTAAGGAAGATCTCCTGTGCATTTCTACCCAAGCTCTGGTGTGCTTAGCTGAGCCTCATGTTAAAGGTCTGGTTAAACATAATCATTTCTCTACGCAGGAAGAAACCTGAGCTGGTAAGATCGCCCATGATTCCTTTGCCTATGCCCAAAAAGCTGCGGTTTAACATCACCCCAGAAATCAAGACTGACATAGAGAAGGCAAAGCAGAACCTCAACATGTAAGTATGAAGCAGTAGAGAGGTCTGGTGAGTGACTGAGTAATTCACGTCCCCCTTTGGAACGTGTCAGTGGTTTAAATGAGGCTTCCTTCACTGCAGCCAGGGAGTTTTCTCAGTGACTTCTTGGGTCAACAGCATTGAACATAGCTGAAAAGCACACTAAAGTCACCTGCCAGGAATCGAGTCAAAGGTGCTGGAAGGGGGTAATTGCTGATCCATCCCACTGGATCTAGCTAGGAATACTAGAGCATACACACACACACGCCCATCTAACCTAGTGAAGATTTTCAGTAGTGGCCAAAAAAATCTCTATAGTGCTGCCCAAACAAGTCTGTGTGTGACTGAGCGCTCTCTGTCCCTCCATAGACCAGATCCAAACTTCCTGTTCTCTCTGAGCCCTGTGAAAGCAAAGTCCATACCTTTATGTTACAAGAACAAGCAACAGGCAAAAGAATACTTCCTCTTTCTTTCCTCGCAGAATGGTCGAAGACCTGGATGTCAAAGTCATGGTCTTCCATCAATTTGGGAAAACACTTCCCAAGTCAGAGAAGATAAGTCCTGATGCTTTTATCCAGCTGGCTTTGCAGCTAGCGTATTACAGGTAAGAGCACCAATTAGTAGCTTCTCAACCTCTGCACCATCAGACTCAAATACGTGAGCTTGATAAACACGTCACAAACAAGTCTCTCACAGGCTGCTATGGCCTGCTTCTTAAGTGCCATGCTTTCCCCATGCGCCAGGGCTGAACAGCAAATTTCACTTGTGGCAGCTGCCAAGCAACAGGTGAGATTAACCCCTCTGTGTGTGTACAGTCGTAGTAAGGAAACATCAGAGATCGGCTGTCAATGGGACTCACTCACATAGTCTTCCCCTTCCCCCCAGTCCTTCTGCTTCACAAGAGGCCATTCCTCTCGGGACAAACTCGCTTCTGTGACTTTATTCATCTTACAGGATGTACGGCCACGCCTGTGCCACATATGAGAGTGCATCGCTAAGGATGTTCCGCCTGGGCCGCACAGACACCATCCGCTCCACTTCTGTAGACTCTCTAAAGTTTGTGCAATCCATGGACAGCCCTGACAAATCGGTGAGGATCTCAAAGTGGAGTAAGAGGGAAAAAAAGAGGAAAGCCGCTTATTTGGCTAACCATGTGTCAGCTGGTTTCAGCTAAGCCAAACTGCACCCAATAAGAAGCTGAACCAAAACATAGCTTGGAGTATATAGTTACACACCTTGGGTTTCATTTGGCTTTCCTTTTATGTGTATTGAAAGCCTGGGAAACGAAATGTGGACATTTCTAATCCCACCAGAAAGAAGTATATCCCTTCTAAAAGTCTGTTTAGCTACTCAAACTAAGTTCTGCTACTGATGGATGGAGAACTCCATTCAGAATGAAGTAATGGAGCCAAACAAAATTATTTAAAAATTAAATCTAGTAAATTTAAAAATTAGTCTAGTATAGACACACAAGGCAGAAATGCCCTCTATCCTGGAAGAAGAGCCAAAATTAGGTTTTCCATTCTGCAGAAAAACTTACAGACAGATCTGTGTGTTCTCAGGACCAGGAGAAAGCAGACTTGCTGAGGAGAGCTACCCAGGCCCACAGGGAATACACTGATATGGTGAGTGTCCTCTATGCTGACAGAATTGGAGTTTTACATAACAAATGAGGATTCTGGTGAAAGAAGAGACCTTAAGAGCTTTCTCTGCTGATGTAGCGATGTGGCCATTAGTGCTGTTGCATAGGTCTAACTCTGATCTGACAGTGCTTTAGGCCACGGGCTGAATGCTTTCTCTTTAGCTAGTGGTTGTAAGTGTCCCTTGTGACTGACCTTAAGGAGAGCATCGAATACAAAAACAGCTTCAGTTCTCACTGTTGCTGATAAATGCCAAAGTTGCATGCGGACCCCTTAAACCAGAGGGAGCCCATAGGCAGGAGCTGTAAGGTTGGTTCCACTGTGTGTTCAATTTCACAGTCCTTACCAACAAGACTGACTATTGGTCCTAAAGGCAAGATCTAGTTTCCTTCTAACTTGAAACATTTAGAGATTTTTTTAGAAGTGCTTTTTTTCTTTAACCCAAAGAAATTTTTTTAGTTTTGCTTGCTTGCTGGCTAGACAGGCTTTCATCTAGTCTTCCTTCCTTACAGGCAATAAGGGGCAATGCAATAGACCGCCACCTCTTAGGCTTGAAGCTTCAAGCTATTGAAGACCTAGTGAGCATGCCTGAACTGTTCATGGACACAGCATATGCTGTTGCAATGCACTTCAATCTCTCAACAAGCCAGGTAGGAGTCATCTGAGCAAAGATGGAAATGCTGTCTTTGTTTATTTTCATTGGCTTTCTTCTTCACATTTCTCCTTTGTTTCCTTCTGTTTAAAACTAATCTTCATTTGGGGACAGAAATTTTTAAGCCTGCTACTAATCCCATAAAGCTGCAGATCTGATCTTATAGCTGCCAGAGTCCCTCTCAACCCTGTAAAACATCAGCATAACCAAGGCCAAGATCTCCAGAAGTGTTTGGTGTCTACCTGCAAGCAATAGCAACTCAAGTTAGCTGCCAGAATAGCTTTACATTCATCTGCTGTGCTGTGATTCTTACTGATACAGTTCTGTCTGTGACTTACTACAAGTTTATCTTGGGGAGAAGTACTTTGCAAATGCATAGGGAAACAGCAGACTCCAGCATGTGTGCGGTGGTAGATGGGTCTGATCAAAAAGGCCCTCTTCTAGAGCATTTTCATGAGATGTCCGTTTCTTCTGCTGTTGACAGAGCTGTTAGCATTTGATGGCTACATTTCTCTCTGGCTGGTTAGAAGTTTTTAATCACATTGTCTCCACAGGTCCCAGCAAAGACAGACTGTGTGATGTGTTTTGGTCCCGTAGTTCCAGATGGCTATGGAATCTGTTACAACCCTATGGATGAACACATCAACTTTGCAATTTCAGCATTCAACAGCTGTGCTGAAACAAACGCAGCCCGCATGGCACATTATCTTGAAAAAGCACTGCTAGACATGAGGATCTTGCTCCAGTCCACTCCCAAATCCAAACTGTAAGAGGCAAACATGATGCAAAACCCCCAACTAAAGGGGTTATCCCTCATGCACTGAAGTTCCCAGTTCCTCAGAAGTGATTGAGGACACAGCTCACCCTGGAACCTAGAAGAGCATCTACCATTTACAGAATAGTCATCTGCCGCTATTAGTGGCAAGAGGAAACACTGTCTTAAACTGAAATAGAACTGACTGGTCTTCTCCCATCAATGTCCTCAAAGAGGACCGAAATACAATTTCTACGGAACTTACTGTAAAGGAATACAGAAAGCACAGTCCTTACCCAGTATCTAAATCCATTTGGCGAGGAAGGTATTCTCCAGGAAAAGCAGGGAATGTTTATTGTATGATGGAAGTATGGTAAGACCAAGTCTTTTTGCTGGTTTAGTCTTCTCAAGAGTGCAGCATCTTTCAAACTCGACTGAAGATTTTTCTGCTGCTCCAGCAAAACATCACCATTGAACTTTGGCAAGGGGAGAAATAAGTCCTTAAGTCAGAGCAGATCCAGTCTCATTAGAGTGCACTGCACTGCTTATCCCAGGCACTCTGACCATTACACACTTTGTAGACCTGGGAACGTTCCCTTCCCCTCGTTTTAGGATACTGGGATCTCCTTTCTGTTGCACTGACCCTATTAACAACAGAGGATAATTCGCTACAAACTAAGGTGGGTTTTTTTGTTGTTGTTGTTCTGGACTTTTTGTTAGGCTTGCTGTTGTAGTCCTAGCCATGGATCTTCAGGCTCAGCGTAAAGCTTTTTTCCCCCCACAAAGCTTCCACAAAACTTCTCTCACACAGGTTTTGCTAGCTTTGGCTTTACGTACCTTAACATTTGGAGAGATGAGAAGGGACTGCCTATGCATTTAGCAGGACACTTGCTTCATTGTACCTTTCTTTGGAGTTGAGGAAAAGAAACAGATGCTGACCTGTTTACTACCCGGAAGGCCACATGCCTAGTCTCCTTCAGGGCACACATGTTAACCCAATTTGGTTTTGTACCTTGCTTTCAGAAACAATGCATTTGTGCATAATGTGTTATGCCTAAGTTGTGGACAAATAAGAATGTGGGCCAGAAATGGAAGCGTGTTCTGGAGTTCCTGATCAGAAACAGAGTTCAAATCTGTTAGAGCCAAAAGCAAAACAGCTGCAGAATCCCACTTCTTTCACGTCACTCTGCTTTAAGGTAGAAAATCTTGGAAAAGCAGGAAGAAAGCTGGTAACATGTGGGCAATGTAGACATTTGTCCACTGTGGCAGCCATCATTCCTGCAGTAACAGTACTGCACCTTTTCTGCCGCTCTTGGAGGTTTTTCTTACTACAGTGTTACTCAGATTTGTGCCAGCTCTATTCTGTGAGAGTGCTCTTATGATAACGTTTTCAGGTTCAGTTGACAAACTTCAGACAGTAAAAGGTTACGTACATTTACATGCAATTTTAGCATAGGAATTTTTATAAGCCGTACTTCAAATAAATCTGCCAGAATCCAAGCTCTTTACTATCTATTTAGTCAGACCATATGGCAATGAAGAATTCTAGTGCTATTAGTGCAACAGGAATTTAATATTTAAATCGCACACCTTTCAAGATGTGGCTGCTGGGACATCACCATAAACAAGAAGCATTAGGAGTCTGATGGCCTGTTGTTACAGGGAAATATTTGATCATAATTGCTACTTTTCTGATCATAGAACAGCAAGGGACATGATCAAAGTGCCTTGGTGAACATATATGAAGAGATTTGCACTAAACCTGTTGAAAGTAGAAGAAAAAAAAAAATCATTCTAACTTGATTCTTCAAAGACACAAGCCAACACTACTGCATTTCTTCCTAAGAGGATGTTGTTTCAAAGCTTCTATCTTATACCTAAATAAACCTTAAGAAGGAAAATTTAACTTAAACTCACCTGCACAGCCAGTGATTGTATGAACTGCCACTTTCACATCATCTACATGGATTTAGTTGATCTTTTAGAAGAATCCTGAATGGAGTGAGGTAGTCTAAAAAAAACAGTAGGAGCACTACAAACCTGTGAGCACACATCTCTGCTCTGTCGACTCCTCTGTATGAATTAGACTGAAAACTGCAAGAGGATACTCAGTATTATCATGGCGTAAGTGATTGTGTAAATACTACATAAAAGACTGAACCTTGCTGGAATAACATCTGGGCTTATGGAGCCTTTTACATTGAAAAAAATACTCCTTTTGCCAGAGTAATCCTCCCCCCCTACTGAACCAACCTCTGTTGCTAGGGGATGAGGTTTTTTTTTCCCCCTGTCTGCAATGCCTTCAACCACTGATGCTACAGTATTGCCACTTAAGTATTTGAGACTGGCCCTTTTCTACTTCTGTCTCATCAAAGGGGCAGGCTCTCAAAGGAAAGTGCCTATTAAAGATTAAGCAGAAGTACACACTGCTGTGACTGTATCTCAGAAGATGGGATTGATCTATTCTGGATATCACACCAGCTTCAGCAGAGTACAGCTGCAAGAAGCAGACTATCACATTGAAAGAGATACAAGATTCATAAACCACTTAATGCATCCTTAATGATACACGGAGCTGAAACTCAGATGAATGAAGCTGATTTTTGAAGTGCTTGAAAGGACATTAAAATCATTACAAGGCTTTTCCTTTTAAAAAGGTCTTTTCTTATTGTACAAGTTCTAAAATGTGATGTCCTTCTGATTCATACTGTCTCGATTTTTTCAGGGTTAACTTACTGAATGCTCTTCTCCTCCCTGATCCTGATTGTCTGATTGTTTTATCAAGAGATGTCAGTTGTCTTAAAGGCACATTAAGTACAAGAAACTTAAGTTCCAGAAAAACTTAACAATTTGGAACAAATAATTTAAGAAATGCATAGACCGAAAATTTTCAGATAACTCTTGGGGTATGAGTGCAATTTATGACACAGCCTGGTAGTGTTGCATGCTTTGCTGGTTAGCTGTGTTAAATACTGTTTCAGCAGTGTAATCCATGTCATGCAAAGTTTTGAAATGTTCTTTGAGTAAAATGAAACACAATAAACAGATAAGTGCTACAAAAAGACTTAAATCTCCTTAGATACTGCAGAAGTTACGTAACTACCCTTATGGGAGGACGTTTGCGTGGGGACAGCAAGAACAGTGAACCACAGCATTCTGTCACCTTCCTTTTATTGTCTTAGTATCTCCATCCAGCCCCCTTGAGTACAGGGGAGGAATAGAAAGCATCTGCTTGCAAAGCCACATATTCCAAAGAAAATATTCCATTTCAGAAAACTAGTGGCAGGAGACTTCATACAAATGTAGGATAATAAGGCAGAGCTCAAATCTTTTTCCTGCACAGCACCATTTAGTTAAGAAAATCCATGGGATCACTAGGGAATTTCTACTATATCAAGTATTGCAAAGATTTCTGGAAAGGTACAGCAAAAGTAGGCAGAAGATGCAGATTACAAACAACTCACAGAGAACAGAGCAGAGTTTATTATAGTGTCTTACAAGAGCTCTTCTTCCTCTCCCTTACTCCTAAGAATTACTGTAGGAAGCTTGGGTTTGAAGGCAACATGAAGTGGAACAGCTTTTTACACTACACTGCTCTCCATGCAGAGATGAAACCTCTTCCCTGTGCTCTAGTTCTCAGTAGGTGCTTCAGACACATACAGTTTTTCCAACAGTCTGTCCTAACAGCTTAAGAGAGGCTAGGGAAGTGCTAGCCACTTTTGAAACAATCGACTCTTTCAGCCTTGTCTTCGGGGAAGAGAGTTGTGATCTCCCTTCTGGCTTTGTAAGTTAACTTACAAGAGATATAAAGAGAAAATAAATGGTTTTGCAAGACATAAGTGATTAGTACCAGCTTTCAAACTGAAACATACAGTACCACCATGTCATGTGGCCTATCTGATGTCCTGTCTCATTTTAACAGGGCTGTTCTAAGTCTGATCAAATGTCCTTGTGAAAGCTGCAAGATGCCTCTTTATTCTGATGCACCTTCAAAGCAGATCCAGTGCTCAGGTCCTTCAGATGTTAACAGGATTGCTTATGTTATGCAAATACTAAACAGGTCTTTTAAAAAAAATGTATTTGCTGTAACAACTGAAAACAGTTAGTTTACTACCCACAGCTACTTCAACACAGAAACTTAAACAGCCTTCCTTCCTGATCTCCTAGATCAGATCACTGCTTTCTACAGTTAACACTCTGGTTGTCCCAACACTTTCTACAGCAGTTCCCACTCCACATGAACACACAAACTCCTATGGCAACAGGCACAGATGAAAACTTAAAAAAAATAAAAATAATCAAGATGAACAGAAACACATCTCACTTCAAGCAGCTTTATAATGCAGGAGTCTGATTAAAGTGGAGATAGTAAAACAGGCAGCAAGACCGAGATGTGACAGTCATTTTACCTCTGCTCACATGACTGCATCGAAGGCACACCGATGACCTTTGAGCCAGTTCAGAAGCTGTCCTTTATCTGTGAAAGTTCAAGTCAATTGTGCTTTGAATAAATACCCCCCTGTATTATACACTTGAACTGCTGCATTATATACTAGAAATATAGAAAATTCCATGCACAGCCCTGAAGCACTTTGAGTATAGCCCTTGCCAGGTTAACTCATGGATCACAGAAGTTGTAGGCATCACCAGCACACACAGATGGCAGGCACACTCCCACAGAGACACAGCATCCAGAGAGCTGACTGGCCAAATGAAGAATCAGAATGGAAGAAGGATGGAAAGCAAAACTTGCCTGTAGGAGTTCGGCATTCAAGGTTACTACTGCAGAACCCCGACCAAGCCACTGTAGTAACTGGTAGGAGTCTCTGCTAGGATAAGCTCACTACTTGAGTTCACCGTTGGATCTAACAGGGCTCTTTGAGAAATAATGTAGACAGCAGCTGAGCTAGGTATTAGTCATTTGCCTTGTTATTAATTTATGGTTGTCACTTTGTTCATTCTTAAAAATCCCTCCCCTAAGCTTTAACAGGAAAAAAAAATAAAAATCCAGTGCTTAAGACAGAGACTAGCAACTGAATTTTGTAAGGCTTTGGGCTGACTCTTACTGGAGTGCAGCACTGCTTATAACCAACGGGCTTTCTAGTGCCATCGGTAGCACACTCAGTACAACAACAGAAGCTGTACAGATCACAGCAACCCTGAGGTAATAAAAGTATAAAGGAAGAGATGGAATAAACATGAGATATGTATGATAATCTTGACACCTAGAAGAGATTCTGAGAAAGACACTTTTGCTAATTACACAACAGGAGCAGCAGTGGAAAAAAAATAGTCAGTATATTTCAGTTTTTCCTTTGTTTTACACACACTCCCCTTAATGGCATCCGTGCAGGCTTCCCTGCAGAACCATCACTAGTGTTAAAAATCAGATCTTTATAGTCTTTCTTTCCATCTGTACAAAGTGCAGTTGGAATTGATTTTGATCTTCCAAAGCAGGTGCAGAAAGGAAAGGAAGCCTTCCTCTCTCTTCTGCCTAAGTCACCCCATCCTAGTTCCCCTCCCTCCTAAGAAGTTTTTAAAAATTAAAAGCCCTAATTAAGCATGATCAACGTGAGATTAGTTTTGTCATCTTCTTCCAAAAAGAAAAACCCTAACAAAAAACAAAAACAAAACACACAATCAACGCCTCACCCACCCCAAAAACAATAGTTCCATTTAAAAAAATAAATAAATAGTGTGTATATTTCATGCTGAAAAAAAAAAGTCACAGAAAGGATTCATTTTTGGGTTTCCCTCCCCCAAACATGACACCAGGCATTTTCTCCCCCCTCCCCTGACGTAGACATGATGGTACATTCCAACCGGCAATGTGCATCTGTGTTGAAAATGAGTTTCTACTCCTGCACGGTCCCACATGCATCAGGGAGCATCCAGCTAGCTGCTAAAGCAGAGCAAAGGCTTTCAGGTTTTGGGTATGGTCCCTGCCTGTTCCTTTGGTCCGTCTGTTAAAAGGCTCCTTGCTGCTCCCAGGTCTCTGCTCTTGTCTGTCTCCGTTAAAACGTGCACTCTGGTCCCCACACTTCCCGAGTCACTGGAGCTTAGTACCCAGCTTGCGCTGTCTGTTTCTGAAACGGTAACAAAGAGCAGGGTGAGAGAGGTGGCCCCAACCCTATCGCAGGGTATTGCAGCAAACCAGGGGGCAAAAGATAGGAGGATTAAAGTAAGGCTCTGCTTAGCTCCAGACAAAAATAAAGCTGCCCGCACCATACTTGAAGAGGAGATCAGTCCTTCCTACTATTTACAGTCCTAGAACATCCACCATGTCTTAAGTGTGCACAAGCTCACATGTGGATGCAAGATTATATGCAATTGCTTGCAAAGAACATGGGCTAGGGAGCTAAGTACTGATTATTTAAATGAAACATTCTTTAATCCCAGACACTCAGCTTGCAGATGCAGTAGTTGACCCACAACTTGGTATTTCTTTACTCTGCGCTATTCTACCCACAGCAGCTATCTACACATTAGAAAATAAAGTAGTAAGTACATCTGACAAGTCAAACCAGCTACAGCTCCTCCACCCCCCAAGATCACTTACCTTGCCTCTGCTCTGGTGACTGTGTATTCAAACCACAGGATGTTAGGAATGAGGCTGGTATCTCGGATTAAAAAGAACTCTGAAATTGGCCTGGAAATGGACAAGGTGGTGGAAAAGGGGAAATAATTAGACTTTCTCCACCACAATTTTGATCAAAATAAAAAAAAAATTTAAGAAAGCACACTAACTGCTCCAGACTTAACATTACTATTTTATTACCTTTCATTCTGGGAAAAGAGCTCCTTGTTAAACTTAATTAAAAAAACCCACTCTGTTTTTTTCTTTCCTTATGCAATGTTTCCAGACTATAGTACATTTAAATGGCTCTGCAATTCACCAAGTCATCAGCCATTCATTAAGAAAGGTCTGTTCTGCTGGAAAAGCTTCACCAGCACTCTGCCACACCTCACAACTTTAGTAGGGCTTGACCAAAGTAATAGTTGCTTAAACTTCCTCCCTCCCCCACCTCTATCAGGCAAAGATGTATGATCCTTTGTATATGCATGCACAAGAAAACACGGAGGAACAAGTAGGTTACACAACAGTCAGTATGCAAAACTGGAACAGAACCCAGGAATTCTCATGTCTAACATCTAGGCGGTTTTTAGAAGTTTGAGCAGCCCATTTACAGTCAGGTACAACTAAAATTTTAGACTTTAAGTTTGTTTTGCTTCAGATGCAAGGTACAATTTTTTACACCAATTGATTAGGAAAATTTTCTTTTGCCAGGTGATTCAGCTACACCTGTGTTACCAGCTCATTGCAAGGGATTCATTTAATGATCAAAACAGCAATCCACAACATGCAAACTTGCAGGAATAAAGCCTCGACAGAATAAAGAGACTTACCATGCAGCTATCCTTGGGAAGAGAGGAGTTAATATCTCTTGTGTGAAGGCAAACCAGGCTATGGCCATAACGCTTCCTGCCACACCTCCATATAAGACTTGGCTCCAGGTGTGGTAAAGCAAATAAACCCTGCAGTGGAAGAGAAGAGTCACCAGGCAGGCTTTGAAACAAAAGGAGGCATGACACAAGGGCTGATGTTTAACTTGCTCAGAATGTCTGAGGGTCCAGTGATTCTACAGATGTTACAAGTGGATATCTTTTTTCATTAAAAAGCTGGCAAAAAGTGGGGAAAAAATTGGGGAAAACTGTGTTCCCTGCTACAGCAGTTTCAGCTGAGAGTGCTTCTAGTCTGACCTTAACTCAATAAGCCTCTGCATTCTTCTTCATGTATCTTTGGATTAGCTGAGGAACTATAACAGTTAGTTCCCATGAGAGACATTTCCAAAGCTATTAACAGGACAAGTCCCCTCCAAGCGACCAAAACTGGGGCTTAAAGACTTTTAAGAACACAGACAGCATTTTTGTTATGATTTTGGTGCTCTCAAATGTGACAACACAAAGGCTGCACTACCCCAGCATGCTTACTGTGATTGCAGCCATTTAGAAAGCTGTATTAATGGTCTGTTCAGTTATCCCTGCACACGAGCTACAGGAGTCACGTTCAAAATTCTTTTTACCCATATATCATAAAGCCATTAAAATCATCTTATCTGACCCTCTGCCTAGCACAGGCCACTGTATTTCCTCAAATTAATTTTTATTTTAATTAGACCATATCTCTCTTATGAAATTGTCCTGTCAGAATTTTAAAAATAACCAGTAATAAGGAATCAGCTCTAGTGTACAGTGAACTGTGCCAACAGGTAATTACTTTCCTGTGGAAAACATGGCCTTATTTCTAGCCTGAATTTGTCTGGTTTCCAGTCATTAAAGCTGACTTTATGTGTGTGTGTATGTAATTTTTTTTTTTAAATCTACTTTTAAATCTAAAGCAAAAAAAAAGTCGTCTGTTTCATTTTCTTTATTCATCTTAATACAACTAAATCTTGCAAGTCAAACAGCTATAAATGTTTTTATTAACTAATGCTCAAGCAAAACAATCAGATCGATCAACTGTAGCAATCCACATGCTGCAGATGCTGGTGTGCCAAGGCATGGTGTAATGCTTTCATGATTAGTGCTGGAAAGAGGGCGAGGCAGTGATGCTAGAGCATGGCAATGGAGCCGATGGGGAATTGGTACAAGCTCAGCTGATCTGGGTTTTATAAATGCTTCTGTGAAGCACCACACATGTAGCACCTTTGTTTGCTTATTTGAAGGGTCTCATGGCAACACAGCAGCTTCCACAAAGCTCTGACTTGTACAATGCAGTCATCAAGAATAGATCAGAAATGCAGGATAAGGAATGACAGGTCTGCTGGCTGTTAAAGGCCACCGGACTGTATGAGAGCATAAGACAAACAATTGCTCCATACCTACTATATGAGACTAGCAAAGCCACTGTGACGAGGCAGATGGACAGCACATGTCGCCATAGTAAATCCAGAAACCTCGCATTGTTTGTTTGGTGCATTCTGAAAGAGATGGAGAGCCATTAGCACAGTGGCAGGGAGCTGAGCAGTCCTTCTCTCTGTTCTCACTATCTCTGAAATCCTAGGAAAGCTGTACTCCAGTGGGGTCATGGGCAGCTCGATATCCCAGCAGCAATCTGTCCCACTGGCAGCAGTGAAAGAGAAGCCAGAAAGCCATACTTCTCTCTCTCCAGCTGTTAACAGGGATTGCTGTGATGGAAGGCAGAATGCTCACAATTACTGCAACTGATGTGAAAGGCACATGCTGAGCATATGCAACAGAGAGCCAAGACGTCAGAGTCCCTCCATCGTCCACAAAGTTAGGAGGAACTATGAGTTTTGTCTTCCTCCACACGTGGAGCCACAAGACAGAGCCATGCCCCAGCGAGAACTTCAGAAAAGCACAGCACAGCATGTAAAACCAGTACTTGGTAAGGGAGATGAACTAAAAGGTCATGCAAGTGGGCAACAGGTATTACCTAAAGGATTGCAGACAACCCCACTGACAAAACTGAGTAGACACATGAGAAAGCAGCAATTCTTTCCTCCTCCCTACTCCCCCCCCTCTTCCCTCACACTGGTGGATTGTAATGGCTTAGAAAAAGCAAATCAGGAGACCTGTACCCAGATAGGCATAGGAGGCCCACCCGTACCCTTCAGTTTTCAGCAAGGGCAACTACAATCATACATTCAGATTGAGATAAACATGCTTCATCCACCCTAGCCACAGAAAATTGTGCAGTTCCTCAGATTTAATTCAATTATGCCACTTAAGTGGCATACAGTAAGGGAGCCATCTATTTGAGGTGTTTCAACATATTAACAGCCAAAACCTGACATTGAATTTTTACCTTAAATAAAGGAACAGAAAGGAATAGACAGAGAAAAACCACATGAATTGGGAGTGGCTGGACGGCATCCCATATTTTGTGGTCACTGTTGAATGGGCTTCTGGGAAGAGAAGAAGAAAGAGTATGGTCAAGGTCTACTCTGTACATAGCAGCTACAATGCTCCAGATGTGAAGCCAGACCACTCTGCTGGAGTATGTGCACATGGGTTCACAGGACACGTCTCTGCTCAGATGGCTCTGCCAGCCTTCATACACCCAAACATCCAAAGCCAACATGAGGCAGAGGGGAAAATACCCTCTAGCCCCCCCACAGTTAGCATTCTACTCAAAACTCAGCTGACACCATGACACCAATGGGCTATACCATACCTTCGCAGGGCCGAGGCTCCCGGATTACATTTTTTATTAACCAGTTCACTCCCTCGTTGAATGCCAGCCCTCCCAAGAAAGAGATCTGTGAAGGCAAGACAACCATGTCATCCTATCTAAAAGATCCATCTACTTACCAGGCTCTCTCTGTTGAGAAAACCCCAAACGATATGTTTCTAATTTTTTTGACTACTAGAGTTAAAACAAATGGCTTCAAAATTCTCTGAGGAAGAAAAGCATTTCTTTTTCAGCCCACTTTGTGTATTTAGCAACATACTGTACATATGCAGCTTTTCAGCAGACTATACACAGAAAGAGACAAAAATGACACTGTACAGGAATTCTGTTAGCACACTTCCACCAGCAAGTGCAGGAAGTGACACTTTTTAATGGGGCAGGTTTTAAGGGATTATCTTTCCCCAACGACCAACAGGGGGAGTGCACACACTGTTATTTGGGTAAATAGCTTAAAAAGGTGACTTTTTAGGCCTTCTGGCTTTTCCCTCTGTGAATATTTTCATCTTGAAGTTGCTGTCTTCAGTCTAAAACGAAGCCACATTCTGAACTGAGCCAGACTGGTACCATTTACTTTTACTCTTTTAATTCCATAGGCCATACACCCGCCCTAAATTAGTCCTGCTGCTGTGATCAAATTCCCAGCTGGTGATGATACTCTGCCTCCTTAACACTCAGTTCCATTCCAGATGAAGAAGCAATTTTCCCCTCTATGTCCTGAGCTACGGGTCAGGCTGCTGCAAGTCAGCTAGTGTCTTTCTCCAGCTCAATGGTGATTTCCTACATAAGGAACTGGGAATCAACCTCAACCCTTGTCTCATTATCAACACCTAACAAGCCCCTGTATTCAAAAACCTATGAATTTGTGCAATAGTTACTCTTACTTATTCTCTCTTTTGGGTTGCCAAAATATAACAGTTGCTCCTCCTAGCTAGCATTGGCTTAATAACCTAGAAGTCCCATTCCCAGGTCCCTTGAGCCACTGGTTCCCATGACACCATGGCCCTATATTAGAAATCTGCTGCCAAAATCCTTTCACTGGCCCTGTTTACCAAAGGCAAATGTTACAAGAGGTTTATACCTCCTAAAAGGAATTTATCCATGACACTGATTCCCAACTACCTGTCAGAGCAGACAGAAAGCATTATGTATTACAGAAAAGTCCCTTGTTGGTCATTTGGACAGAAGCAAATCTCTTCTGTCCCTGGTATTCCATTCACAGGTGGGAAGCAGCCTTTATAGACAGATCCACTCCCTTGGGAATCTGTAGGTTTTATTTTGTATCCCCCTTTCTGTTTCAGCAGTTCAGAGAAAGCACATCCTACTGAGTTACAGACAATCTCCTGCACCTGACGCCCATCTTGCAGGAACCTACTAGTGCCATGGATCCTACTGGATCTTGGGAGTGGTTCCCGCTCTGCAACAGCATTCTTCAGTTCCTCAGACATCTCCCTCAATGTTTTTGGACAGCTAATGCCCAAAACATACCATAAAGTAACAGAAAAGTCAGCAAAGGCTAAGCAGTCTTTTAACCTGGTACAGGCAGTAAGTGTCTCCTGCTGTTCTTTGACAGGAAGATCACCTTACCTAAGCTTGCTCTTTAAAGAGAGAAAAAGAAGTGTGAATACAGGAACACCAGGTGACAAAGGGAAAGACTTCTGTCATAAGGAGAAGCTGGGAAAGGAGAGGACTCACCGTGTGAAGCTCTCTCTTGAATATGATGAGTGTTACAAAGCCAACAATAATGAATATTGGACCAAGACTCAAATAAGCTAAAAGCTGACCAGAGAAATCACCTAGGGAAACAAACAAGAGAAACAAGTCAGTTTGAACTTCACAGGTACTTGCCTGCCACCAGAGTGTGGGTCAGTTGGTGCCCTGAATCACTGAGAGCTGAGGGGCAAACTCAGCGCTGCAGCAAGTCTCCATTTTGCAGACTGACTACTGCTGCTCCAGCCCGAGAGGAGCCAAGGCAAGGAAGGCAGCAGTGCTTACACACAGGTTCAAAAGCAGGGATGAGAGGAGCTTGGCATCATTCAGCAGAGATTACTGCCAGCCAATTTACAACAATGACCATGGGTGTGGGCCCAAAGTCACTTTAATCCAACATAAGCACAGGCTGCTGCAAAAGAGGCAGCGTCTTTCCCTCCCCCTCATTCATATTGCCTCCCTGTGCCAGCAATTACCAGCAAACACTCCCCAAACAAATCCTTTCCCACTCCCTTACTAAAATGGGTTAGTTTTCAGCTGGATCAGCTCCCTAATCTGTCTCACCATGTGTCTGCATGAACACTAGCATTAGCAAAATGGGGAGGAAATAAATAGCTACACATAGCAGGAGATAGACGGGGGGCAAAAGGAGACTGCTTTTTAACCAGCAGCCCGCTTGTATCACACAGAAGTGACTTTTCTGAGTCTCCACCCCAAACAGCTAACAGTCTAGTTATCCCCCAGGGAGAATCATGGAGCAGCAATGGGACCTCACAAGACGTGATAAGGTACCTCAAAACCTTTATCCTAAACTATCAGACACAGAAGTAGGCAAACAACAGTAACGAGCAGCTATATATTTTGATCTAAGTTTCTCTTGCCTCTGTTCCCTGAAAAAGGACACCTTTGGAGAGAAGACATCAGCATAAATTCAAAGGAAACAAAAAATTATCAGAGCCCTTTTGCTCCAAGATCAGCAATTCAGCTATCTACCAGAGAAATTTTTTGACAGTAGTCACTACAAAAACATGGTATGAACCCAGTGAGCAACTTAAGAGACAGGGTACTTTCTGTATCGGTTCTCAGAGACTAGATCTTCTCCATCCCATCACTGAACACAAAAGGATCAGACCCCACATGAATTTATCCTTCCTCCCTCCTCTCAGAAGGAAACAGGATGCCTCTGCAAGGCTGAGCATTGGACTCATTCCTAGATCAATTCCACTGGAAGATACTGAGTCTCCCCAGCCCACGCAACCACATTTTAAAACAGCACTTGGCAAAATGGACTTGAACCTCAGCCTCCAAATACTGGAATTGATGGGAAAAAAAAAAAAGTTATTGCACTGCTACAAAGTTCAGGCTGCTGATGCTATCGTCACACAGTTGTGGTCACATCAGGTACAGTGCACAGATCCCTTTTGAATTCCAGACTCTGGGTTAGATTTAGGAACCAGCAATATATTATCAGGGTTACTTGCAGGAGTTTTAGTTTGCAACACCAGTGAAATTAGGAAGAGGTGGAAGACAAAACCCCCAAGAATACTGGGTTTTCACTGAAGTGAGGTTCTGTTTTGTTTTTAACCTGAAAAAGCATTAGAAGACACTGAATTTGAAACTTTTCTCGCACCATATGGCAGGTTAGCCTTGCATCAGGTGGGTTCCAAATGCTCCCAAAACAGAACAGTAATATAATATGGTAATGCAAAGTGGATGTAAGTGACAGTATCAGTTACTTGGCAATGGCGAATCAAACCCCTTATGGTTTTACATAAATCACAAACTCTCTACAAAATTAATGCTGTCTTAAATGACGAGGGAATTCATGAGACAAGCCACCAGACAATCAAAACTACCCTGAAAGCCTTAGGAATACTTTCCAATAGTCTCAATTCCAGTGTTGCCAAATAAAGACAGCTCCTCAGCAAGGAATCACCATGTTTCAGGTCATTCACTTTGTTAATCCACAGTACATAAAGGCTTAGCACTTCAAGACTAAAAGCTGTAATTTTGTCAAGTAGAAACCAAACCAGATTATTTCTCTTCTGGGGCGGGGGGGCTATTTCTTGCACAGATGGTGGAAGAATAGTTAAGGAAGTAGTCTTCTAGTTTAAATAGAATCAGCAGTACCAAACTCAAGATCCTCCATTATGTTATATGATAACATACCCAATAAATCAAGCCACCCAGACTTCACCAGCACACAACCCACACTTGAACCTCAGGCAGAGAACCAGAAACTATCGCTCCCAGATGCTACCTGCAGGCAGGGTACCAAGTCCTTTACTATCTTAACACAATAGCTCCCCAAACATTTCAACTGTCCATTTAAAATAGAACAGAGACAGCATTAATGATATTTCATATTACCATGGTTAACAGCAATCAAACAGAATCACATTCTGAAGCCACTTTTTCTAGGGGAGGAGGCAAGTAAATAGCTGCGCACAAACTGAAGGCAGCACTTTTGGCTATGCCCTGGGAGCTACACCAGGAACTCACTAATACCATCATAAATGTACTCGCTAGATTAGCGGCTTAAGGCAGAGCTGCACTAACTAAACCAGCTCCAAAATGACTGGAAATCCCCAGTGAAGGAGGCAATGTGAGCTCCGAGAGAAAGGCCAGCGCTGATCAGCACACAGTGCTCCTGGGCCTCAGAATGTGATGACTTGTGTCACTCCTATCTACTCTCCTCCTCCGCCGTGCTCAGAGTTTTATTCCCATGAAAATAGACTTGCAGGAAAGCTGACAGTTTGAAGTCCAGTCAGATCGAGCAAGCAGGTCCCCCTCCTATCATTTTAGAAAAATTTGATTTTTCTTCATTTTACTAAACTTGGGAATTTTAAAGCAATTCCTCCAACCAGTAAGAACAGAGACAAAACCTCTGAAAAAATGCAAAAGGAAAATGTATTTAATATACTGTTTGGGTTTGGCTTTGGTTTAAATTCTGCTTTTTTAAAGTCCAGCCTTTCCTGGACATCATTCAGGGCTCAAGATGCAAAAATGAAAAACCTCATTTTTAGGCACACAAGAGATAAATAGGTGAAACGCTAGGCATAGCTCAGAAGCACGCTATTTTTTTTAAGCCTTCATTCAGCATCTACTTCTGCTCCAATTCAACATTTTACCCAGCATTCTTTCAGTGGAACTATCCAAGCTTTACCACATTAGCTTAACCTATATATAATGTAAAAATGTGAATCAACAGCACTCTAACCACATCCTACCGCAAGATCTAGCTTTACCACTGCCACCGCTGCTTCCTATTGAAGCATCTATTTGTGGCACTGCTGCCGGTCGTATGTTCTTGGCAAAACACATGTGTGCAAGTTGCACAGACAGCATGCAGTATGTCATACGCATTTACACCAGTAAATATTCATGATGGATCGTCATTTCCTCTACTTGCGCATATCCTGATATCACAAGCTGTGGGACAGTAAAAATATCTTCAGGAGGCTTTAAATTACGGCATAGAAGGCACGCATCAGACATTAAACTTCTGCAGGAAGATTAAACATAAAACCCTGCATTGAAGAGGCCAAACAACTGAGTGGTATCTGCTTCTTTCAACAGATATTATTTAGCTACGAAATGAGCCCTGACTGGCGAGCTACCACCCTAAACAGAAATCACAGCGAGGGTTATCAGAACAAATGTTCCTTGTTATAGGAGCAACATGTGCTGATACCAAATAGCAATGAGAACTGCTGAGCCAAAACACATACACAGCATGAGCACCTTTGCTCCGATGCACCTTTTCACCAATGGGTTGATTCTGCACGCTTGCCTCTCCAACTCTGCCTGACACCCTTCACAACTGAGAAAACAGGAAGATTCTCTGACATTCTGCAGAGGAACGGTTTGGCACACCAAGTTTCTCTCCTTAAAGAATTCGTCCAATGTGAGAAGAGGAGATCCAGAAAGTCCCAGAGCTTTAAGAATCCCAGCTGCACTGGAGAGAGGAAGTTTTTTTCTTTTCTCCAAATAATAATAAAAAACCCAAACAAACCAGGAACTCAGTGTTTCTCCAGTGAAACTCACCCTACAGACAGGAAGTTCCTGAAGATGAGTTTTAAGTCTGCAACAAAGTCATCCCATGCAAAGCAATGCACACGGGAAAAAACAACCCTAATTATACACAAAACATGACAGGATTTAGTTTAGTCGTTATCAAACAAGAAATCCTCAGGCTTAGCGTGAGCCAATACCTTCAGAGTAGCACCCAATGCTCTGCAGCAAAAAAGGCAAGCAAAAAGGCAAGAACAACATTTTAAAGAGCAAAACAAGTTAGTTACAGCACTACAAAATCTATTATGCAATTCTGGTGTCACCATCTAAAAAGGGACAGTAAACACAGAAAAGACAAATAGAAGGGGGACAAAGATAACAAGAATCAAACAGTAGCCACTCAGAAAATACCGAATAACTCAGTTTTTCAGCTGAAAAAGGAAAACAGGATACAACAGTTCTATAAAGTCATGAATAATATGGAGAAATGGACAGCAAGCATTTGTTACCTCTCGCTGCACGCGAGATAGGAGTGCTTGATAAAGTTACTGAGCAGTGGACTTAAAAGCAGAAAAGAAACAACCACCACGTTAAGTTACAAAGCTCAGTGCCAAAGATACTGTGAGATCCAAAGCGGAAATGGTTTCACAGAGCAATTAGACATATTCCGAGTACAGCTTTTATATATCCATCAAAGGACTTAACAATCACCAGCTGATTACTGGCCAGACATACAGAAGAAGGATGATTCCTGCCTACCTGCCAGCAACTCGACACTATGCCAGATCATTCCTTGGTCTCACCAAAGCACAGTTGCCGATATGAAAAGCTCCAGGACCAAACATTTCTGAAAATGATATCAGGACAGTATTTTTAAAGACTGTCCTCTTCAGCAGCATGCTTTAACACACTGTCAAGTAAGACGGCCATTGTTGGCTTCTTCTCCCTGTTTTTGATCTTCACGTTTACTATGGGTAATATTTCAGTTAGGTCTCCAAGAATGCATTACTCAGACCAGCTTGCAGTTGACTACCATGGTGTTCATCTACTGTTTCTCATTTTATCTTGCTCAAAGTTGACACCACAGAAAGCCCTGGAGAACTGAGCAGCCACATAAGCAGTAAGGATGGGTGTTTGGTGTTTTGCGCTATAATGCTGTTGATAAGGAAGCATTAGATAAAGACAGGGAGGACAAGCACCCTTCTGGAGACACCTCTCCCCTTCACAATTACAAGCAGCAGCCCAATAATGGGCTCCACCTGCCAGACAGAACTTTTCACCTGGTCACAGGAAGACAGACCATCACTCTTGGCGGATGAAAGCTGGGAAGACATCAGTTCTGCATTGGAAGTCTTTAAAGACATGAGATTTTAAGAGCCAGTTGCCACAGTGGCTCAGCACACTGCACTCCAGACCAGCAGCTTCTGGGATCAGCCAAGAGCAAAAGATGTTTTGCCACACAAGAAGGTGTGACATGGCAAGACAGCTTAATAATTTATGTTGGTAAAAGCAGCATCTATTTCTCATTTTGACCCCTCTCTATCAGCACAAGGCTACATTAACTCCACTGTGCTGAGCACACTGCCAACATTGCTATTTTGTAAATATACATTATCTAGCAGCTTTATGGATCTGGACTTAAGCTGTACACAGACAGAACATAAACAGCTTTCTAAATAAAGTTAGAGCACTTTTCCCAAATCCAGGTAAAAGTATCAGATCTACCATCCTACTACAACTCATTTTTCTAGACCAAAATAAATTAAGAAACTTCTGTACCTCCAGCTGTTTTAACGTTTTAGTCCTTTGTCTCCACTTTACAGGCTTCCATGTTTTATCCAAGACAAACACAGTGTTCATCCCCTCAATACATAACCCCAGTCTCAGTGGTGATTTACCCCTTCCACACAATCATCTTCTCCATTTGCCTGTATAAAAGCACTCAATGCAGAGAGAAAATAATCACATTATGTCACATTGTTTAAGATCTGACAGATAACTCTTGTGCAGCAATTTCAACCACCTTCATTTCCCAAATGAATCCAGCAAGTAGTGCACAGGACACTCTGTGTATATTGCTAGGGTCAGATAAGGAGATAAGATACAAAGATGGATATAGCAGTACTACTGAAAAGATTATTGTCCCGACTCCCCCAAAATGTCAACGTTAATATATTTGAGAAGGAGGATGGCAGAATAATGCACAGGGTGAAGGACAATACATGACAGAAAATGAAATACCAATCTTTCACATGAAGTATCACAGAAAACCACAAAACAGTCATACTGGGGGTGGGGTGGGGTGTGAGGTGCAAGAAGTAATGTATTTCCAGCACCAGATCTTTTCAGTATTGTCACATTTCAAGTCTTCTAGCTAAATGGGTACTTTCAACCCAGAGGATCCCTAAGCACTTTAGAAGCTTTAGGCATTGCACTACTGAAGAGGAGCTTTCATCAGGAACTAAAATCCAGCTATCAAAACAGGGCATACAGCAACACTTTACGGCAAGTTAGGGACTTGCTAGGAGAACTAGCAATATTGAAAACAGCGTTAACGCCATTTTGGATTTTTGACCAGATTGTCTATACTAACACTCTTAACACTTCACACCCTGCTTTTTCCATTATCTTTGATTACAACAAGCAGCTGAAAAAAAAAAAAAAAATAGTTTTTCTGTCTCACCCAAAACCAGCACAGTGCAAAGCACCTAAAGAGGAGCACCAAAAGGCCGCAGTTACTAATGAGACACTGCTTAGACAGCTGCTATCTGAATACAGACCCATTTGCTCTTACACACTGATAGATCAGGGATTCATCCTGCCACACCATGGGCCAGGTTGCTGGCACGAAGTGCCAGAGGGACACGGCACAGGACCGTTGCAGATCATAGCACTGCCCCAGCTGGAACAGCCCACGCTGCACGCAGGCACCCGGCACTTTTCACCACCGACTGTACCCAAACCCACCTTGCCAAGAGCTGACCTACAGGAAGCTCCATGCCTGTCAGCCTCCAGGCGCTCCCCACAGCACCGCCTGATCAAAGGGCGACACCGGGGCCCGCTCCCAGTACA